CTTCACCCCCCTCCTTTCTCCCGTCATTGTCCCCGGCGACCCGCTCCCTGTAGCGGCGGTAAAGCTCCTGCACATAGTCCGGGGGTGATTTCCCTCCGTCCCCTCCCTCGGCAACGCCTCCCTCAAACAGGGTTTCCGACTCGTTGTTGGCGGCCGCAGCTGCACCAGCAGCACCAGCAGCACCAGCAGACCCTAGCTGATTCCGCGGGGCTCCCGGGGGCACCGCGGACGATGCCCACGACGGCGCCAACGAAAATCCTTTCCCGAGAACGAGAAAAGGGTGGTTGCACGCCTGGCTTTGAACAGCAGGGGGCCACCAGGATGTTGGGGACGTTAGCAGCAGCAACACGATATTCGGGGTGAGGATTGCAAGGAGGTGGTGAAGTGCTTCCTCGCGGAAGAAGAAAATTTTGACTGCCGAACACCGAATTGGTCCCCTTACAGGACCCGTGTGAAAAAAACTCGAGTGAGTCTGCCAAGCCACGGAGGGTGCCAACGGTAGCAAAACTAAAAGATAATAAGAGGAAAGACAGCACCGTCTGCCTATCTGCGTTCGTTCATGTTTATTGCTGGTTCTATTTTGGGCAGAGAGCATGACTAACGGTCCCTATGCTTCACTATTTTTACGTTCACAAACACGTGTGAAATGGGAAGAATTGGAAATACACAGAGCCAGACACCATGAGGGCATGGCCCGCATGGCGATATTGTTCATAGAGACAGACACACAGCAGTCGGCTGGCTCGCTTGTGCATAGCAGGCACACTACTCGCCTGCCTCAGCCGTAGGAGCAGCGTGAGGATCGCGATGTAGGACTTCATGACGGTTCCAGCCGCCACGTATCCTTCGAACTCGATCTGCAGGTCGAATAAGCGGCAACAGCAACGACGCCAACAACGACAAAAAAAAAAAAGTCAAACATACATACATGAGGGCGTCGCCTTGACACGTGGAACGAAACATAGGACGGCAATGTCATCGACGCTGTGAGACCACGCCATTAATACTACTACACCATCCAGGCCGACAATTGGACGTTAACGACAGAGTCGAGACCTTGGCATACACACCTTGACAGCACAAGTTAAGGATCGCCTTATGGAAGTTAAGGATCGCCTTATGGAAGTTAAGGATCGCCTTATGGAAGTTAAGGATCGCCTTATGGAAGTTAAGGATCGCCTTATGGAAGTTAAGGATCGCCTTATGGAAGTTAAGGATCGCCTTATGGAAAATAAGGATCGCCTTATGGAAGTTAAGGATCGCCTTATGGAAGTTAAGGAT